GTATCGACAAAAAGCGTAATACCTCCACACAGTTCTCCATCACTAAAATCTTTTCCGAAATATATTGGTAAACTTAAAGGGATAATAAATCTATATGTGATCTATATTTCACAATAAAAACATTGTAAACAACTCATAGAAATATAATATATTCTGTTTTACCACAAAAAGAGCAGTTATAGCTATTATTCTAATTTCTGAGCTTGTCATCGGACCACGGATTCATTAAAGAGATAACAACTGTTCAATTGTGCCAAAATATGAATTTTCTTCAGGTATAAGGCAATTTTCCCATACATATCAATGGTTAATGAATCCATTACTACATTCAAAGGTAGTCCCTGTTTTTTTCTCAAGAAATTTTTTTTTTGTAATAATCTCTTGAGAGATTATTACAGAATATTGCCATCTATTGAGGTCACGTGATCCGATGACATGCTCAGATATCAGAATAATTGCTATAACTGCCGTTTTTGTGGTAAAATAGAATAATATTATTCTTCAATGGGTTGTTTACAATAGGCCCTATACATGTATATTTAGTATGAAGTAAATATCTCACACAAAGGGTTGTTATCCCTTTAACCATTGATATGTATGGGGAAACTGTTGTTTACTTCAGGAAAATTCATTTTTTGACCAAAACGAACAGTTAATATCCCCGAGTTATGTTCTCAGTTTAAACGTAATTCAGTGCTTTCCACGTGGAATGATATTTGGTTTTTGGGTTTAAGTAGATGAATGATGTCAGTGCTGCCCAGTCAAATTCTTCTAAGCTTTATCTATATTGCATCGCTCATCACTTCAAAATAATGCATAAAAGTTAAAAATATCGAGATGATGATGATTTTTTCCAGTTCAAATTACGTTACGCCTTGGCTGCACTTTCAATAGTGATGACGAACTAAAGCTTCAGAGTTCTTTTAAATGCTTCCGATAATAAAGATATGCGAAAGAGACTCGTTATTTTTTTATATATAAAATCAAAACAGCCAGTAGACTCGTACATAGCTTTCAAGAGTGTGGACAGGTGCGTAGGCCTNTCATACAAGGAACTACGACTCATAAGGAAATTACGACGTACGTGAAAGGTTCGCTTCAGAATACATTTTTATTTATTGAAGGTCGGGAAATATTAGCTTTGCTAGATAAAAATAAGACTGAAGGAAATTTTTGAATGAAGTATATTTTTTTCTGAGTGATATATCTCTAATACAGCAAATTAAAAAGAAAAAAATGCTGCAACAAAACGATATTCCGGTTTATTTTAGAGGTTAAATATTTAAAAAAAAAACATTTTTAGGGAAAAACTCATGGAATGTACCTTTAAGACCTAGATTTAACAAAATGTGACATAAAAACTGGTTTTCATCGGAAATTTGACACTTTCCCTCCTTTGCGACACGTAACCTTCCTCTTATCATTTCTTTTAGTTATAAATTTCTTCACATGGATTTTTTATTATCATTAATAGCTAAGATGTTCAACAAAAACTAAAAGAAAATAAGGAAGGATATGACAAGCCATTATCAAATTATGGGAATTCTTTAAAAGAAATCTTACCGGGGATCTTCCCGATAAAACTAATTTTCTTCGGAAAATGACCCCACCCTTCACTCTTCTCTTGGAATAATTGCTCGACCCACCCGTACTTGGATTCGACTTTTCATACCATAATTAACAAATCATATTATTTAGTTCTTAACGACTGGCTGCTCATTTAGAACGCCGTCTGCCCACCTTTCCAACATTCACAGCATTCGCACAGCCCAGAATCAGGAAATGGACGAGCTCCCGTTTCAAAATACAAGAGAAAGTCGCAGCGTTTTGTTATACAGCATGGTGACAAAATACAGGTTTTACTTCTCACGTGCAGTTGAAAAGTCCCATGGATTGGACCATACAAGGAACTACGACTCATAAGGAAATTACGACGTACGTAAAAGGTTCGCTACAGAATACATTTTTATTTATTGAAGGTCGGGAAATATTAGCTTTGTTAGATAAAAATAAGACTGAAGGAAATTTTTGAATGAAATATTTTTTCTGAGTGATATATCTCTGATACAGCAAATTAAAAAAAGAAAAATAAAGGGTGCAACAAAACGGTATTCCTATTTAATTCAGAGGTTAAATATCACAAACTACGCTCATTATTATTCATAAAGAAAAAAAAAGGTGAAGTGTTTTCCTAGCATTTAGAACTTTTCCATAGATGGCTGTTTCGAGCAATCTCAACATATGTCTGCTTTAAGAAAGTGAATGGTGGAATGACACTGAGAAAAAAAAAAAACAATTCTAGTGACATTTCCGTGAAGCCACTGTCACGGATAGTAATCCAGATTGGTGACATCAGTTTCTGAGATAAAAGCACTGGATGCAGACTCAGTGGGCAAACTACTGAAATGTTTCCTCAGGTGTTCCAGTCCTTTCTTTGTCATATAATGTTCCTGCTTCTCCTTCTCCAACTCTGCCGTTACTGATACCAGGTCTCTCTGCAAGTCGGAGATGTCATTTTCATATAAAAGTTTAATATTTTCCTCCCTGAGTCTATGTTCTCTTAAAAACTCTTGTTTTTGATTTTCCATGTCAACCATTACGTTCTTGTGAAGAAGTCTTAGGTGATCATGGTCTTTACGCAAAACATTCAGGTCTTTACAGGTTTCTGAGTACAAAGATTTTGTGTGCCTCAATTCTGCTGTTAACTCCTCAATTTCACAACCAGCTTTCTGCGAATCTACTTTCAGACTATCGCACAGAATTTTCAGCCTCTCGTTGGCTTTTGCCACTTCCCGTAAGGATTTGTTCCTCGAGTCTAAAGCCTTTGCCTGATTTTTACACCTTGTTTCAAGTTCCTTGTTACGTCTGTCTAAATCCTCTGCCACATGTTTAAGTTTGGCATTCTGTTCCTTGGCTGTCCTGAACACACTCCTTAATACACTGATCTCCTTTGTGGACCAAATGGCAGAATCCTCAGGGTCGACAGGGACGGTCTCCGTCTGGCAGCCTCGACTCCGAAATTTTAATTCTCCTAAAATGAATACCATAAAAAGGTAAATGCTTAAGGGCCCCTTTTGAACAAACTGAACTGCGGACTGCAGATTTGCAGATCAAATATGGCTGGCCCACTTAAAAGCAATGCAATCTAATCCTGTAATGGTTTTTCCACCTCCACAAACTCTGTCCCTGCAGGGGCACAGCAATTAAACCTCAGAGTGGAGATTAAATCTGTTTGATTGATAGCTTTTAAGTGGGGTCTGCCATATTGAGTCTGCGAATTAGTTAGTACTCAGATCATCTGTTCTTAATGCAACCTAAGTTACTTTGAAAAGCTCTAGTACAGCTAACTTAAAAAATAAAACATTTCATTAATACAAAGTTAGGTTTAAGATTTTATACATCATGATACTTACAGGAGGTAGTGATATTAATAGTTATAATTATACGAACAATTTGAACCAAAATATCACATCCAACACAATAAAAGTATCACACCTAACATATTATGGCCAGCTTTATAACAATAGTATTTTTCTGAGCACCTTTTTTTCTTAATTCCTTTGCTCTCTTCTCCTTCTCTCTCTCCTCTTCCTCAATCTGAGTCATCAATAAAACCCTCTCATACACATTTTTGATGGAGCTGAGATCAAACTGGGAAATTTTGGTCTCTGGTTCCTGAAAAATATTTAAGGAAACTGAAATTTCACAAACTATCATATCAGAAATAGTCAATTCGGTAATATCTTAAAAACGTCACACTTTTGTTTCTCAATATAGATTTTTTTACAATAATTTCGAATAATATTTTTAGAATAATTTTGTTTCTATATTCAACCAAATGTCAAAGACATACTAAAATGGATCAACTTCAACTGTGACTTAGATGTTAATTTGTTGAGAAAAAAAATTGAATTACAGATTTTAGATATCAATTTGAAAATTAAAAGCTACTCCTCTTTTTTCCAGTCTTGCCATTTGATGTTTTATGTTCTAATTGAAGCATGAGGCAGGAATTATGGGATACACCAGTTTGGACATAATTTAACATGTAATCCAAAGGCTATACAGGTCACTTTTGCCTAAAATCATGACCTGGATACATTACAACACAAATTACATATTATTACATTCGAATTGGGTCATATCCCAAAGATCCCCTTTACAGATACTTCTCATATAATAAAATGCTACTTTTTTATCTGCTTTCTGAACATCTATGTCAGTTGGCTGTGTGTCAAGGTCAAGGTCAGCAGAATCAAGGGTGAAGGTCACAGGAAACAGCTCTTCAACCCAGTGAGGTTTTCCTGTTGCATCCATCTTTGCTGAGGAAAGTTGTTGTACCTGTTAGATTTAAAAAATAAATATCTCTTGACTACAATGGAATAAGTAGGTTTTTAAAACAAGAAAATTAATTTATAAAATATACATACAGGTATACAGATTTCCTTGCTTTAAAATATTTACTCATGCACAATAAATAATTTCTCAGTCAATTTATTATTCAAAATTTTGATTTGAAAACATGCCCTACTCATGTCTTGGTATTTTGAATAGTAGTCAGACTGGTAGTAGTTTGCCCCTGTTTTTGGCTTTACATGCTGGGTACTTAGGGCTCATTCCCACTGAAACTATTGGTCTACATAGATCAATCCAACTCAGCAGTTACTCATCCTGAATGTTAAACAGATTAACACGCCTCCTCCTGGCATAGGTACGACAGAATACAGAAAAGCTGGTGATTATACAACAACGTTGGAAGGCAATAGGAGGCATGTTAATCTGTTAAACTGGCTGAATTCAGCAAGAGTCCCTGCAGAGTTGGACTGATCAATGAAGACCCATAGTTTCAAAAGGAATGAGCTTTTACAGTTACAGCACAGCGCGTAAGACAGAAAACCGACGCTAAGTATAGACCTTTTTCATCTTTTCCGGAAATACGAAGTGCGCACGACAGGAACCGCGCGCCACAGGGGTCATGATGGTCCTCTGCTGTTTCCAGCATGGCAATGCTAGGTGTAGATGATATACAAGGTGTGCATATAAAAAGGTCGTTTGCAGCTTGCACTGCTTTCTGTCAAACTAAAAAGGTGGCTGAAGCACAGAAATGCGTAAACTGTAGGCAAGAAAACAGCTACTTGGACGGAGAATCAATCAATTAAATGTTTTTTCTCAGTTTAAATACGATGCGCTGTACAACTAGACTTCACCTAAGCGTCCGAGCCTTGGCTGCACTTTCAATAGTGATGACAAACTAAAGCTTCAGAGTTCTTTTAAATGCCTCCGATAATAAAGATATGCGAAAGAGACTCGTTATTTTTTATATATATTAAATCAAAACAGCCAGTAGACTCGTACACAGCTTTCAAGAGTGTGGACAGGTGCGTAGGCCTACGTCTTCACAATATTACATGTATATATGCAAGCTGTGGCGATATCACCTCATTTACCGGCAGAATCAATTCATTGCGATTTTTATGTCTTGTTTGAAGGGTGTCTTAAGAGATTTTTGAAATGATAAAATGAAAAGATTCCCTGCATTGTTTGACTCGTACCTAAAAGTGACACGCAGATTGTTCGTCGGTGAACTGATTAAATCGTTTGGTACCTGATAAGGCATATCAGGTGTTACTTGTTCAATTGTTCAGTTAGGGGGCGGCCACAACTACGACCTTTCCTCTGTAATTAAAACCTTCTAATTTATAAGTGTTAAACAGGTGAGACAGGAATTCTCGAATNGTAATCTCCTTCTGTTATAACTCCTTGGTCTTCACAATATTACATGTATACTACTAGTATATGCAAGCTGTGGCGATATCACTTCATTTACCGGCAGTATCAATTCATTTCGATTTTTATGCCTTGTTTGAAGGATGTCTTAAGAGATTTTTGAAATGATAAAATGAAAAGATTCCCTGCATTGTTTGACTCATACCTACTGTGTATACAGGTGAAACTGACACGCAGGTTGTTCGTCGGTGAACTGATTAAATCGTTTGGTACCTGATAAGGCATCAGGCGTTACTTGTTCAATTGTTCGGTAAGGGGGGCGGCCACAACTACGACCTTGCCTCTGTAATTAAAACCTTCTAATTTTAAGTGTTAAATACACATGTAGGTGAGACAGGAATTCTCGACTTTTTCCCAGACGATAATTAAAGTTTACCGTGTCTTACTCTAGTATATGTACAAAATTTACGACAGGTAAAAAAATGTCAGACTTTCGGTCTGACAAGTATGAAAATTTTGTCAAACTGAAAAAAAACCGTCAGGCAAAAACAAAATTATGGCAAGAGGCCAAATTATTTGATTTTTAAATGTTTTCATGTGTATTTTTCAATCGTTTTCAATCAAAGACAATAAAATCATTCAAATAAAGTGTTTTCCACACATTTCATACTTTTTAACTATCTAAGACAGTTAAATATACGTAGGCCTACTTTAATACTAAGCATATTTGTATTACTTTACAAATGCGTTGTTAGATTATTTTTATTATCCATTTTGTCTTTACCATTCATGTATTATGCACGTGTAGCTTACAGAAAGGCTTTTCTGCATTTTTT